ATTTCGCCCGTTATATTTATCACTACTGCCACCATAAAAGCCTAATTATTAGTCTTACATATAAGTAAGACACTAAATAGTCACCACACTATAGTTAAGACTATAGACCTAGGGCATAACTTTAGCGTCACTTTTATCTCTATATATATAAAGTTTAGTCCTATATAGAAACAATTCATTATAGCGCTTCTCACTATATATAGCTAGCTAAACATAATATTAATCACTAAAGTCCTATTAGCTATGCCTAAAATTATTGCCTAATACTATAGCATAGCTAATATAGTGAGCATTAGTAATGCGCTTTATCTTATATTTATAGGACTATTTATCTATCTTTAGGGTCTATCTATAGACATTTTTAGACGCTAAAAGGTTTAATAGACTTACTCTCTTACATTATAAAGAATATAACTTAAGGCCGTTTAGGTATATCTATACAGTATTACTCTCTTCACTATATTCTTTATTAGTATTACCTTATCCCTTAGTATTACCTCCTTCTTTATCTACTGTACCTTCACTATAGTATAGAGTACTACGCTACTTATCTTAGAATTAAGCTATATCATTAATATATATACTTTAGTATATAGGCAAGCCTTAAGATACTATAAGATATTAACCTTAGTAAATAAAGTGTGTAACTACTCTAGGATAGTTCTTAGTAGGATTAATAAGTAGTTACGCCCTTAGCCTAGTAATTAGTGGTGCTATCGTAATCTATATCTTGTGAATAGTTATATTCTAGGGGTAGGCTAGAATGGGTAAAGTCACTCTTTTACTTATTTACTTTCTACTATAAGAGACTATTCATAAGACCTATATAGTAAAGTTAAGAGGCTAAGGAGTTAATAAGGCCTTTTAAAAGATCTAGTAATAAGTAAATCTCATAATATTATTCTAGGTTTATAAGCATTATAATATGCTATTTATAGTACATTATTAAGCCTTTATAGGGATAATTTTCTAGACTTAATCTTTAAGTAATAACTATAGATCTTAGCCTTATCTACACTAGTCTAGAATATATACTTAATGTTAACGCTAGTACATTATATTCTAAATTCTCACTTAAACTTAATAACTCCCTTATAGTTTAGCCTATTATTCCTAGCCCCTAGGTTTAACTATCTTATTAAAGTCTAAATTAGAGGTCACTAGACAGACTAAAAAGTCTAATATAAGCTTTAGAAGTGTGAGTATTACTGCCCTAAAGACTAACTCCAAAGTAGTATTATCTTCCTAGGTAGTATATTATCTATCTTCATAATTCTTTATAGCTAAATAGTTAACTAAAGAATTAGAGGTATTCTTATTCCTATGGTTTACATATTCTTCTAAGGCATTATATAAACTACTGCGTTTATTAGCCTAAATGTCTATATCTTAAATATTATATAATATTAAAGTGATAGAGCGTCTAGTTAGTGGTCTCCAATCTTTTCATAAGACCTTTAGCTAATGTTTTCTTTATAGTAGCTCACTATATAATGCGTTTCATTATTATTAGTATTAGTATAGTAATATATTTATTACTAATTAACTTAATTAGTGTGAGCTAAATATTTATAGTGTTAGTAGCCTTTATTCTTATTATAGCTACTCTTATCTTTTAAACCATTAAATCTGGGGAGACCTAGCGTTTCCGGAGAATATTAATAAGTTAGTGAGAAAGTAATTACGTAAGAGTTCTCTAATAAGTATTTAGTACTTAAGCGTTTAGTTAGCGGCGGATCCCATAATTAACCTACTTTATAATATTATAACACTAATATAAGAAACACCTAATAATTTATACTCTATTAAGGTATTAAGTTTAGACTTATAAAGTTTAAGGAAAAGCCTTACTAATTAATAATAATATTTCTTAAGGTAAAGTAATACTATTATAGGCTTAGGGTCTATAATACTTTAGACAAATTATCACGAGATACTTAGAGTAAGTATTAAACTAAGTATAATCTCTAGGTAATTTAATTACTAAGGGTTTAATATAATATATTGTTAAGTTTACTCTTAATGACTATGGGGTAATTCTCTATCTATTATATAGTAAAATAAGCGTAAATTCTCTATTTAGTTAAGATATCTCTTACTATAACATAAGACTTAGGGAGTCACATAATAGGCATGGTAAAACACCTTAAATAATCGCCTATAAAATAGGCCTAGGGAGTAAAAAGTGAGCACCTAAAAGGGCTATATAAGGAGTGATTTAAGCCTAGTAAATCTTAACTTATAAAGATAAATTAGCGGAGTACTCCGCAGAGAAAACCTTTTAGCTATCTAATAGTAAGTTATTTTAGCTAATTATGCACACAGTATAGATTCTATCTAAACTAGCGCCAGTGTAGCATGGGCACAGTCTAGACTATACAGAATGAGTTAGACATGAACTAGTGTGATAATTACGGCGTATTCTGTAGGGCCACACTTAATTCTTAAATAATATCTCCGCTTAAGTACTTTCCCTGCTCAAAGTATTTAGCACTAAGTATAGACCTTTTCTCCGCTAAGGTCTTAGCCATTAGAAATTAAAGTAATAACATGATCTCATAGTTTTAACTTTCTTCAGAATAATGAACTAATGTATAGAAGAGAGATATATATACATAAGACTATTAATTCGTAATAGCGTTATATTTCCCGCTATTAAAGTTACGCAAATTTACTTAACTTCTTAAAACTTAATAACATTTTATTAATATATCTTTTAGCCTAGTAATTTCGTAAAAACGATTCTCTAAAGATTTATATTTTAATGTTAGCTTATATTATAGACTAGTTATAATAATAAGCTTAGAGGCATAGGTCTAGTTTAATTAGGGACTAACCTAGGTATACTCTTTTAATCACGAAGAAGTCTATTCGTGTTTTGCTTAGGCTCTCACTTATGACCTAGACTATACTATAACCTATTAGGGCTAAATCTATATAGTTAGGCTTAACTATAATAAGAGCTAAGTAATATTTAATAAGAAGGACCTAAATAAGACTATACCTCGCTATTATGATATAACTAAGATAGCGCTAGTAAAGAGAGACTTAGTCACTCCAGTTAAGAAAGCACTAATTAAGGCGCTATAACATCATTACTTAATGACTATAGTCCTTAATAATTTCACACCGCTAAATAAGGTGTATACTAATAAGATAAGAGAGGTGTACCGCTAATTTAGCTAAAAGGATCTAGACGTTATTACACTCTTTAGTGATACGCTTATAAACTAAAAGCTAAGGTAAATATTCGATATTTATACTAGTAAGGTAATCTCTTTATTACCTATATATAAGGTATAAGCAGTACTTAAGTATGGCCTAGTATAGCCTAAGGTCTAGAGCTACCTAAGAGTGCCCTATCTATATATTTATCTTATAAAGAGATTTAATACCTTAGAAGTTACGCTAGTAGCCTATAATATTATTTATAAGCTTATCCTAAATACTAGCTATATAGTATATATATCTATCTATATTAATGTTCTTATTAGCGAATATTAACGGTTAATACTATATAACTATAAGGCTACTATCGCTAATAATAAGTTTTTCGCCATTTATAGTGACATTAACTTCTATAGCTTTTACTAACTTTATAACTACTATTTACTTATATATATAGCGATACTAGCTAGCTAGTTTAAGGTCACTCTAGAGTCTATAGAGCGTATAAAAAAGATTATCACGAAAGAAATATTACGGCTTAAATCACTACCTATAGCTAACTAGCTTAAATTCTTCTTAGCTATATATATATATATATTAATTCGGTTCAGCTTTTAGAACGAGCTAAAGAGACTCTTAATCCTTAAAGATAAAGAGCTATACTATATAATTATTATTATAATATACTATAAGAAGAGAATTATGTATATATTAATAAACGATCTTAAGAATACTAATATATAACGCGAGTTATTCCGGAAAGTAATACTACTTATACTAGAGAGTTAGCTTAACTTCCCTAACTATATTATTAATGTACTAAAAGTGATGAATACTATACTAGATAGCGAGATTAAGTACCGCTAATAGAACTATAAGGTCACGTTCGAATCGCTCTAGGAGACTATCTAGCATAAGGACGCCCTTATATATATAGAGCCTTAGGGGTGAATACTGCCTACGAGACACACCTATAAAGTCTTATCTTTTAAGTAAAGTTTAGTTAAGTAGACTAGCTTAGTTTACACTAAAGATCTAGGCTTAGTTAAAAACTTAACATAAGCACATTAATACCTTAAGAATATATAAGCGCTACATAAATACCATAAATATTTAGTCCGACTTAAGCATAAGGTTAAGGTTATAATCATTAAGTAAATACTCACGCTAATGGCAGCTAAGGCTAATATCTCTATTGTTTTATCTTACTTTTACCGTTTAGGTTAGCTAATAGAGAGTAAATTAGAGAATATATACAGTAAAACATAATAAAAGAGCTAATAAGAGAAGGGTAAGTACGTAATATTTAATAAGTAAGACATCCCAGATTCTTAGGAGCCGACTTCCTCCTTGGGTGCGCACCTCTTGCCCTTTCGCTCACCCCAATCACACCTCTAACACTCTCGCTTCACACCCACCAGTCCCCTTGACTCACCCGCAGCTCACCTCGACTCACCCGCAACCACGGCGATGATAGGTTCGGGACGGAGGACTCGACAATGCGTGGTTCGAACCGGGTCGCAGCGACGCTGCCCGGCGAGGACCACCCTGCATTTTCGGCGGGGGGTGTTCAGGGTAGCGTCGAGCGACTTGTTCCCCCCAGCGATTAATGCCGCACGCACGTATAAAGGGGGGATCTGCCCGCGCTGCAACTGAAACGGTCGGTTGGTCTCCCAACTTACAGAACCTCGCCTTTTCGTGGGTTATCAGGGACCGGCTGAATGCGGTACGGTCCTACCCTCGTTGACATGTGAGAGCCGATGGCCTCCTACATTTTATCCCCTGCTTACTTGATTGATTTAGTGGCCCCTCTAAAGTGCTCAAGGTTCACCATGGAGGATCGACTCGCTGCTCGAAGACAGGCGGAACAGGACAGGCTTCGCGAAAAGCGGAATTTCCGCCACTGGGAAAGCCAGGCTACGGATGAAGTAGTTCTGAAGCCCATCAAGCCGAAAACCGAGAACGGTTATAACAGGATGCTCGACGCATGGGATAAGTGAGCCACTTCCAGTCGGTCTGGGAGACGACCGTATTGACACGGTGTTAGGTTTAGCGCTCGGCGCCGTGGCGCCTCCCCCTTCCACTTAAAGACGCTCAAACAGTTCTTGAAATGGTACTGCGACGGACGGAAGGGTCGTATCCCCGCGGCGGACGACGACGACGAAGACGACGGCGTAGACGACGGCGAAGGGGAGGAAGACGCCGACAGAGAGCTTCGAATGACGCAGGACTCCGTCTACACATGTTGGAAGAGCTTCCTATCAGGGTGGCAACGCCGAGAGACAACGTCCTTTCCGAAGCATATTCAGACCACGATCAAGACTGTAAGCTCCTCTATCGATAGTCTCCCAAACATAAGGTCAACGCTCAATGCCTTATACTCTCTAGCTTGTCTACGGCGGTGACAACAACTACCTAAACCTAAGAACAATACAGCGTCCGGCTCGAAATTTCACCGTCATAGACCACAAAGTTTGCGTTGGTCAACTTTGGGGAAACGACTGGCACGACTTCTACTGTGAATCATACCGCGTCCGTCTTCACCTGATGCAGCTCCTACACGCGAATACATCTGCTCGAACCGCGGAATACGTAATGAACCT